ACTTCTTCTCAATAACCAAAAGGCCCAGGGTACTGATATTGGGCCTGTAGCATGCTGGGATGAAGGACTATCAAGTTTGTTCAACTGAATGACCTTGACCAACTTTCAAGGTCACAGGGGTCAAATGTCGTAAAATCTTCAAGCGACTTCTTTTCAATAAGCAAAAGGGCCAGGGTACTGAAATTGGGCCTGTAGCATGCTGGGATGAAGGATTACCATGTTAGTTCAAATGAATGACCTTGATCCACTTTCAACCTTATGTCCTTGTTCGACTGATTTTTTTTTTTCTTGTACCCCAGACACAGACATCTCTTGTGCTACCCAGATTTGTCTGTCTCATCCAGTCTTTCTGGCATTCCTGATGTCAAAATGAAATGGACGTCATTTTGTATTGTGACGCCCTGCAATAGACAATGAAAATGGCACCAACAACGCACCGGGGCTCGCCTCAGGGTTTTGATAGAGGTCCATGTTATGGTTTCCTTGTGCTTTTGGTTACCTCTTGGTTCATGTTTGTGTCCTCCTTTTTGAATTCAGTATTGTTTCTTATGCAAAAACTATCTTTTTTGGTGTCAAATGTAACATCTGTATAACAATTTGTTGGTATTTACACAGATTGAAGTGTCCTGATAACTATTCAATGAATAAAAAACACATGTTTCTATTTAACAAAATAAAACAACATATTTTAACCATATCTCTGATGAAAATGGTAATTTCTGTAAAATATTGTAGAAGTTGGTGTCCTGTTACATCTTGTTAAAAAACAGTTTTTGTTCATATTATATTAATATTTTGGAACTTGCATTATACTTTTATGGACAAAACTAGTTATTTTATTATTAAAACACCACTAAAAATCAGTTAACAAACAAAGTTTGGGTAATATAGCAAGATTATTGTTTGATGTCTTCGTTACATCCCGAAAAAAAATTAAATCAGAAAAACTTTAATAAATCATTAAATCTTTAGAAATATATCTTGCCCTTCAAATGTGTAAGTTATATCATTATTCTCTTGATGTCAGCATAAAGCAAAATGGACATGCATGCACTATGAAAAGTGGACACCAAACCATTTGAGATGTAACCAAAATTCCTTGACATCGAATTTTGGATCATATGTAAGAGTGAAATTAAAAGATGAAAAGTTTAGTTGAGAGAAAATCTTTCGTCAGTAATATTTCCTGTTTCTAAATTAAAATTTGCGTAACCATAGTGTGCTTTATACTTTGAATTTTATTTATAAAAAGGAGATTAATTTTAGATTCAAACAAATGTTTTCAGTGCTTTACAATCACTTCCACTGTAGATCAAATATCTGGGTCAAATCAACAGTTGTACAGACTAAATTACCTAAATTAGTCACTCTATCTAGAGTAAATATGTTGTATTTACAGAGTTTGGCAATCACTGTATGAATACATGAAGAAACCAGGGATGATGTTGATCACCATCCCAAGTGTAGAGGAAAGCCTTGAGAATCTGCAGGTAAGTGTATCATTGTTATACTGTGTATCAAAATGTAATCCAAGGTCATGGTATGGTTTGTTTTCTCCATCTGTATGTGCAGCTGTCTGTCAATCTTTTTTTGTCTTTCCATAATTCTTAACATCATTGGATTTAACTCAATAAGCATGTATACCAGAATGTGTGGATCTTCATGAACTATCAAAGGTCACTGATGGAGGTCAGAGTTCAAACAACTCTTACTTACAGGTTATCAGCTGCTTTAAAAAATTAAGCACCATTTTCCTGTGACAATATATTGCGATACATATCATAAAACATTCCTTCTGATTAATATTAATAGTTGATGTATCGTGATCCACTATAGGCATGACACCCCATCAATGATCACTAAATTAAACTGTTTCTGTTCATTTTGACATCAACAGACAAATATCAATCTGTCGACATGGCTGAAGGAGGTTGATGCGAGTGAGGTGTGCAAACAAGCGAACATTCTGATGTATGGACAGGAGGATCCGGACGACAAAGATCTTGTGTCCATACATCTGTACGAAGTTATACCCAGGACGTGAAATCAGCAACGATAATTATTTATTGTGTAGTAATTATTAAATGAAAAGATAAAATTGTGACAGTATTATTTTGAGGAACCCTTTAAACCCTTTACAGCAGATTTATTTCCCTTTTGAACTTTCACTGACTGCTCAGCTTTATTGCATCCAGTTTTTCTGTTTTCTTCTATCCTAAGCACTCCATTTTTGATGCCAGTGAATGTTGTTGAATAAGCTTAAAACCAATGACACACCCTTTCTGTTCTTGTTTTACTAGTAAAGGGGGAGGCAGGTCTTAACCTTAGGATACTACAATGAAATGGGTAACATGAGGTATTCATGCAGGCTACATGTATCTCATCAGTAAGAGAACCCTGAAATACAAGGGCTCCTATATTAACAGGAAAAATGTCAAAAGAATGCAAATCTAATTTAATAAAGTTGTTGCCTGTAATATACCATTTATGTTGTAATTAATCATAAAGAAATGTTCTAGACATATATTGTACAGGTATGCTGAAATGTCTGAGCCGAGTTTATTCATCATCATTCCCAGTTCAATATTGGAGGGGATATTGTTAAAATGCTTGTCCATCCATCTGTCCACCTGTTAAACTTTCCCCACAACTTCAGTATTTGTGGTCTGAATCTACTCAAACTTAATACAATGCTTTCTTGATGGAAGGGCTTGCTTGGTATAGCTTTTCCAGTCAGAGGGTCAAAGGTTGAGGCCTGCGATACCTTGTTAAACATAGTAAAACCCATATTGCTGAAGAAGTAAACTAGTTCTATTTAGGGATCCCCGTACCACTGCCAAAAATTGTAACTAAGTATTGGAAACTGATTTTTTTGGCAAGCTTTAGCTTTGATAAATCATTTTAAAAAGAAAACCACACTGTGGGATTTTAAGGTCACCTGAGCTTTGCTCAAGTGACCTATTCTGATCGCTTTCCGTCCGTTGTCGTGCATAATATTTTTACATTTTCGACTTCTTCTCAAGAACCAGTGAATGGAATTTTTTCAAACTTTGTCAGAATCATCCTTGGTAGATGAGGCTACAAAATTGTAAAATTGGGATTCCTACCCCATTCACTGGGGCCAGGGCGGGGCCCCAAAGGGAAAATTAACCAATATTTCAAAAATCTTCCTCTTCAGCCTCAGAGGTACTACAGTAATTTTTTCTGGGCATGGATGGAAAGATCATAAGGTGCTTAATTTAAATTGTAAATTTCAGGACCCCCAGGCCATCCGTCTCCCTTGGGGAGGGGGTAAAATTTACTTTAGTTTATATAGAAAAATAACACTTTTGGGTATATTTTTAGCTCACCTGGTCCAAAGGACCATGGTGAGCTTATGCCATACCGCAGCATCCGTCGTCCGTCCTTCAACTTTTCCTAAAAATCACTACTTGTCATAAACTGAGCAGATTTTGACCAAATTTAGTCAGAAGCATCCTTTGGGGAAGGGGAACAAAATTTGTATAAATGGTTGGTCTGTTACCCCTGGGGGCAGAGGGCCCAATATGGGAAATATAGCAAATTCTTTAAAATCCTTCTTCTTCTGTAGGCATGGAAGGATTTGTTCCATATTTGGTCTGAAGCATCCTTGGGTGAAAGGGATCCAATTTTGTATAAACCGTGGATCTGGCCCCCCAGGGGCTTGAGGGGCAGGGCCCAATAGGGGTAACATAGCCAATTATTCTTTAAAATCCTTCTTCTTCTGTAGGCATGGAAGGCTTTGTTCCATATTTGGTCTGAAGCATCCTTGGGTGAAGGGGATCCAATTTTGTGTAAATCAAGGGTCTGGCCCCCCAGGGGCCTGAGGGGCAGGGCCCAATAGGGGTAACATAGCCAATTATTCTTTAAAATCCTTCTTCTTCTGTAGGAATAAAAGGATTTGGTCGATTTTTGGTGTGGAGCATCCGTGGGTAGTTGAGAACCAATTTTGTATAAACCATGGGTCTGGCTCCCCAGGGGCCTGATGGGCGAAGCCCAATAGGGGAAACATAGGAAATTATTCTTTAAAATCCTTCTTCTTCTGTAGGAATAAAAGGATTTGGTCCATTTTTGGGGTGGAGCATCCGTGGGTAGTGGAGAACCAATTTTGTATAAACCATGGGTCTGACTCCCCAGGGGCCTGATGGGCGAAGCCCAATAGGGGAAACATAGGAAATTATTCTTTAAAATCCTTCTTCTGTAGGAATGAAAGGATTTGTTCCATATTTGGTCTGAAGCATCCTTGGGTGAAGGGGATCCAATTTTGTGTAAATCAAGGGTCTGGCCCCCCAGGGGCCTGAGGGGCAGGGCCCAATAGGGGAAACATAGCAAATTATTCTTTAAAATCCTTCTTCTTCTGTAGGAATGAAAGGATTTGGTCCATATTTGGTGTGGAACATCCTTGGGTAAAGGGGAACCAATTTTGTATAAATAGTGGGTGTGGCCCCCCTGGGACCTGAGGGGTGGGGCCCAATAGAGGAAATAGATGTAAATCTTCAAAATCCTTCTTCTTAGGTAGGAATGACAGGATTTGGTCCATATTTGGTCAGAAGCATTCTTGGGTGAAGGGGAACCAATTTTGTATAAACGGTGTGTCTGACCCCCCTGTAGGCAGAGAGTCGGGGCCCAATAGGAAAATAGAGGTAAAACCTTTAAAATCCTTTTTCTACCATAGGGATTAAGGGATTTTATCCTAATATAGTCTGGAGCATCCTTGGGCCAAGGGGACTCAATTTTATATTAGCAGTAGGTGTGGTCTCCGAGGGGGGAAGAAGGGCGGGGGCCCAATAGGAGAAATAGAGGTAAAACCTTTAAAATCCTTCTCAGACCATCGGGATTAAGGGATTTTATCCTTATTCAGTGTGGAGCATCCTTGGGTGACGGTGACTCAATTTTGTATAATTGGTGGGTATGACCCCCGTAGGGGCATAGGGGTGGGGCTCTGTTTGAAGTTTGTTCTCTATATCTCAAGTACTGGATGGATCTTTCTGATCTCTTTATACTCAGCAATTGTATATACCGTTATAGGGTGGGGCTCTCAACTGTTTCCAAGCTGTGACTAACAAACTAGGTCCCTAGGGGTTCGGTCAGACCCCAGGGTCTATTCTAATATCATGACTGCATTCGTCTTTTTATGCCCAGCATTTGTATATATAGTTTTGGGGTGGGGATCTCAACAGTTTTAAAGTTATGGCCCAGGGACTATGTCTCCAAGGGTGGGGCCAGACCCTAAAGCCATCCTGGAAGCAAATGTGCATTCTTCTCTTTATACTCAGCAATTGTATACCATGGTTATATGGTGGGGATCTCAACCATTTCCAAGTAATACACTTTTTTTGGCCCCACTCCTTAGCCCGGGGGGTCAGCCCCACCATTTGTACCATTTTGAATCCCTGCGACCTAGGGATGCTTCCGACCAAATATGATCAATATTCATGGTATAGTTCTACAGTAGAAGTCGTTTATAGCAATATAGCCAAATTGCCCCTTTTTTGGCCTCGCCCTCAGCCCCACCATTTGTATAATTTTTAATCCCCACCACCTAGGAATGCTTCCAGTCAAATACGGTTGATATCCACTTCTTAGTTCCAGAGAAGAAGTCGCTTAAAGCAATATTGCCAAATTGACTCCTTTTGGCCCCGCCCTTCAGCCCCCTGGGGGGTCAGCCCAACCATTTGTACAATTTTGAATCCCCACCACCTAGGGATGCTTCAAGTCAAATATGGTTGATATCCATGGCATAGTTCTACAGAAGAAGTCGTTTGTAGCAATATAGCCAAATTGCCCCCTTTTTGGCCCGCCCCTCAGCCCCCTGGGGGGTCAGCCCAACCATTTGTACAATTTTGAATCCCCACCACCTAGGGATGCTTCCAGTCAAATATGGTTGATATCCACTTCTTAGTTCCAGAGAAGAAGTTGCTTAAAGCAATATTGCAAAATTGACCCCTTTTGGCCCCGCCTCTCAGCCCCCTGGGGGGTCAGCTCCATCATTTGTACAATTTTGAATCTCTGACACCTAGGGATGCCTCCAGTCAAATATGGTTGATATCGACTTCTTAGTTCCAGAGAAGATGTCGCTTAAAGCAGTATAGCCAAATTGACATCTTTTGGCCTCGCCTCTCAGCCCCCTGGGGGGTCAGCCCCACCATTTGTACAATTTTGAATCCCCACCACCTAGGGATGCTTCCAGTCAAATTTAGTTGAATTCCAATGAGCGGTTAAAAAGAAGAAGTCGTTTAAAGAAATTGTTGACGGACGGACGCGACAGTATGGCATAAGCTCACCTTGGTCCTTCGGACCAGGGGTGAGCTAATAATAGAGATGAAACAAACAGAAAAATAAGCAGCAACAGACTGTAAAAATTAGACAAGACTGGGATTCGAATCCCTGGACCTCAGATTGTTTAAATCGACTATGCTTCCAAGTTAACTGGCACAACTGTATGACAGTAATATACAAAACGGAATTAAGAGGAGGTTACTGTAGCATTGGGATAATAGAAAAAAATGCAAGGTCAATTGAAACTTCAATAAAATTTTATTATCAACACCACAAATAGAAAACGATATTAAGCTATCTATACTTGTGCATCCATGTAAAGTGAATATGTACAAGGTGTTTATGATCAAATACACTAACTATATCACAGGAGAAAGTTTGTACAAAATATCAATCTTTTGAAGAAAAAAATGAAGAGAAAAGTACTTATTAAATATAAAATGAAAGTTTTACTTTGTTCAATGTACAGAAATATTACAAAAGATAACAATTCACAATAGAGTAAAAGACAAAAATAGAAAAGACAAGTTGGTGTCAACCCAAAATATAATTCATGCTTTTCAAATTCATTATTTTGAAAACTTACTGAAAGCCCCTGTGAGAAATATTTTCAAACCAAAGGAGGAAAATATGTTTCGGTAAAAACTCTGCATGCAACATATAAATACAAAAGGAACCCTAAAGATCAACATAATGTACAAGAAATATGCAATTGATGTGTATGTATCATGTGAAAATAGTTGCAAAAGAGCTTGCAACAGTAAATAGACTAAACAAATATTTAACAAGAATGTTATATTAAATATCAGTGCAAAGGGTATATAATGCAATAATACAACTGTGTGATAACGAGATTTAATTTTCACAAGTTTATATGAGAATGGCAAGCTGTGAAGATATAACACTAATACTGATAGTGACAATTTGAATGCCTTTTATGAATTAAACTCTCATAATGACTAACCTGACATGTCAAAGTAATGTATTCAATCCCTGGTTAAGTTAATACTGCACGAAACATGTGGATGGGATCCATATTCAAACTGCTTTAATTTATCACATTGTTTTCATGAAGTGCACATTGTGTTTACCAAAAATATTAAAATAAGCACTTGAACAAAATGTATAGGTTTAGTTCTTATTCAGTTGTCACTTGCTCTGCGGAACATCAGTTCACTCTGATATTTGGAGGTTTCGTGGTGGAAGTCTGGCTGGAGTAGTGTTGCTCTACTCGGCATTCTGTACTTGCCCTCCACACGATTCCGGTCCTCTACATTGTAGTGCATCTGTTCACGCTTTTCTAAGAACAAGTTTTCATCATGTTCAACGTGAGGAATTCCTCCGAGCTCTGCATTCTGGAAAACAGATAAATAATGAAGTTAAAGTTAAAGAAAACATATGCCACGTAACCCGAAAAAGTGTTGGTGCATGTTTATACCACAAAAACTAACGTCACAAAGTTGGTTAAAGATGAGGATAGAAATAAGTGAAATAACAGAACAAAAACATGAAATGCTGAAGGGATGGTATCCTAGATGAGCTTAAGACATTCGTTTTCACCTCTAAGAATTTTTTAACAGTTTCAATTCCTGTAGTACCTACATTTGTATCTCAATAAGGGGGATTAACCACTTTTAATTATCATCTATGACATTAATACAGCTTATGGAAAGCTAATACCAAAGAGTCATGAATCATCTACTTATATAAGAATTCACAATTTTAAAAATTCCTCTTTTATATTGAGTATTTTCACATGATCATTTGAAAAGTGTTTCATGCTGGTATTTGATTCTCTGACTTTGAAATTATTTGTTAAAAAAAACATGATTGATGGTGAAATTTGATACCAATATAGACATCCAATGCAGTTTGTAGCATGCAGGCAGTGAGCAGCACAAAACTTTGTATGTGATCATAAACTATTGTAACAAAAAATTATCAATTATGAATAATCTCCATTTTAATAATTGATATCCTGAATTAAGAAAAGAACTTAAAATTTGTTTCAATAAAATCTGCCTGTTAGTTAAGATTGAGTTTTCCGGACATGTTACTATAGACATCCAGAGTGATCCCAGTATTCCTTGTTGCAGGGGGGTAATTTAATTAAAATTTCTTATAAATGCAAATTAACAAGAATGACTTCAAAAAACCTTGTAGTCCTGTGTTTTTCTTTATTCTTAAATACAGAAAAAATGCATTCTTTAGCAAAAAAAATGTTGACTGAGTATGATCATTTTATGACAATGTGTTATGTCATTACTTTTACCCCGATTATAGAAATGTAGGAAGTCAAGGTGACATTTTCCTGAAAAACACAAATTAATGACTGTGATACAACTTCTTGTTGCTACTAGACCACCAGGGGTGATGTGCTATTTAATCTAACAAAACGGCTCAGATATCAAATGAAATCTAAACTGACATTACTTAGGTGTACAGAGCTTCAGTATTCATAATTCTGCTTGTGATATAATTATAAAATATAAGTGTACAGCATGCAAATCGTGAAGTTACTGGTTTCTGTAGAATATGTATACCAGTATAGTCTACTGTGTGTTAAGTATGATATAAAATAATTATTTGGTCATGCAACATATTCTCATAATATTTAGGATTTAGGTAATAATTCTATAAAAGTAGTTTTTTCTGAAAAGTTTGGACTCGTGAATATCATAGAACAGAAGCTAATCAACAGTAACACTGGAAAAAAGTAAAGAATTGGTGGTTTGCTCAAGTACACTGCCAACATTACATCTGAAGTTTGAGACACAACTGACATTTGGTTTAGACAGTTACAGAAAACTTGTTCAAGGCTGAACGGCTACCAGATGACTTCTGCTTTAGCAGTTGCATGAAACTTCAATTGTGTTTTGTCCCAGTAAAAGTAACAGCATTATGAGGTAACTAGATCACAGATAATTTGTTGAGGAGAAAGTCATATTTCTCCCCTACTGCATTGAATAATGGATCAACTCGGTTAAGACTCAACTCGACTATAAAAACTTAATATACATTTATTTTGGGTATAAAAAAAAAATTGTGGTACTGAAAATCCACGTATTACAAAGAGGCATAAAACTAAAAGCGTACAGTTAATTTTCTATGATCAAGCATGATACAATTGTTAATTCAGCTAGGCTAAAATGGCATGTTATACATGTAATACCATATTTGAAAGCATGTCCATGCTTAACTTACATCCCAGGAACACTCCACATCATCATCATAATGTCTAAAAATGGTAACATTTATAAGAGTTATGCTAGATAAGTTTGGTATTGTGTTGTATACATACTTTAGAAAGACAAGAGGCCCAATGGGCCTGCATCGCTCACCTGGTATAAATCTCACACTTGTAACCTTAAAAGTGATCTAAAATAAAGCTACAGGCAAAATATCAGTATTTATGATTAAAATTCATTCAAAAGACCCTGTTAATTTTTTTTAAAACATTTCACCCCTGTGATTGAAAGTCGAACAAATTTTATAGCCTTTCATCTCAGGATGCAATTTGTAAAGTATCAACATCCTGGGACCCATGGTTATTCAGAAGAGGTCGTTTAAAGATTTTAAACAAATTTGACCCCTGTGACCTTGAATATAAGTCAAAGTCATTCACTTTAACAAACATAGTAGTCCTTGATCCCAGCATGCTACTGACTAAATATCAACATCCTGAGCCTTTTGGTTATTCAGAACAAGTTGTTTAAATATTTTGAACATATTTGCTCCTTGTGACCTTGAATATGATTCAAGGTCATACATTTAAACAAACTTGGTAGCCCTTGATCCTAGTATGCTACTGACTAAATATCATCACCCTGGGCATTTTGGTTATTCAGAAGAAGTTGTTTAAAGTTTTTAACATATTTGACCCCTGTGACCTTGAATATGGGTGAAGGTCATTCATTTGAACAAACTTTGTAGCCCTTCATCTCAGCATGCTACTGGCCAAATATCATCACCCTGGGCATTTTGGTTATTCAGAAGAAGTTGTTTAAAGTTTTTAACATATTTGACCCCTGTGACCTTGAATATGGGTGAAGGTCATTCATTTGAACAAACTTTGTAGCCCTTCATCTCAGCATGCTACTGGCCAAATATCATCACCCTGGGCATTTTGGTTATTCAGAAGAAGTTGTTTAAAGTTTTTAACATATTTGACCCCTGTGACCTTGAATATGGGTGAAGGTCATTCATTTGAACAAACTTTGTAGCCCTTCATCTCAGCATGCTACTGGCCAAATATCATCACCCTGGGCATTTTGGTTATTCAGAAGAAGTTGTTTAAAGTTTTTAACATATTTGACCCCTGTGACCTTGAATATGGGTGAAGGTCATTCATTTGAACAAACTTTGTAGCCCTTCATCTCAGCATGCTACTGGCCAAATATCATCACCCTGGGCATTTTGGTTATTCAGAAGAAGTTGTTTAAAGTTTTTAACATATTTGACCCCTGTGACCTTGAATATGGGTGAAGGTCATTCATTTGAACAAACTTTGTAGCCCTTCATCTCAGCATGCTACTGGCCAAATATCATCACCCTGGGCATTTTGGTTATTCAGAAGAAGTTGTTTAAAGTTTTTAACATATTTGACCCCTGTGACCTTGAATATGGGTGAAGGTCATTCATTTGAACAAACTTTGTAGCCCTTCATCTCAGCATGCTACTGGCCAAATATCATCACCCTGGGCATTTTGGTTATTCAGAAGAAGTTGTTTAAAGTTTTTAACATATTTGACCCCTGTGACCTTGAATATGGGTGAAGGTCATTCATTTGAACAAACTTTGTAGCCCTTCATCTCAGCATGCTACTGGCCAAATATCATCACCCTGGGCATTTTGGTTATTCAGAAGAAGTTGTTTAAAGTTTTTAACATATTTGACCCCTGTGACCTTGAATATGGGTGAAGGTCATTCATTTGAACAAACTTTGTAGCCCTTCATCTCAGCATGCTACTGGCCAAATATCATCACCCTGGGCATTTTGGTTATTGAGAAGAAGTTGTTAAAAGTTTTTAAAATATTTGACCCCTGTGACCTTGAATATGGGTGAAGGTCATTCATTTGATCAAACTTTGTAGCCCTTCACCACAGCATGCTACTGGCCAAATATCACCACCTTGGGCATTTTGGTTATTGAGAAGAAGTTGTTTAAAGGTATTTAAAGACAATTGACCCCTGTGACCTTGAATATAAGTCAAGGTCATTTATTTGAACAAACTTGGTAGCCCTTCATCCCAGCATATTACTGGCCAAATATCATCATCCTATGCCTCTTGGTTATTCAGAAGAAGTTGTATAAAGATTTTAACATATTTGACCCCTGTGACCTTGAAAATTGATGAAGGTCATTTATTTGAACAAACTTGGTAGCCCTTCATCAAAGCATGCTTCTGGCCAAATATCATCACCCTAGGCCTTTTGGTTACTGAGAAGAAGTTGTTTAAAGTAAAAAGTTGACGCCGGACGGACGCCGGACGCCGGACGGACGACGGACGACGCACCATGCCATAAGCTCACTTGGCCCTTTGGGCCAGGTGAGCTAAAAAACCAAATTGGTAAGGTGTGTTGATGGGTTAATGGAGATACAAACATTTTATAGGTTAAAGCAAAAATATAAGCTGGGTTCAGGGAAGTGGGAACACAACAGCCTTTTCAAGACAAATTTGTTAAAGCTCAATGCTAATATGCTTTCCCATCCCAATTATTGTAGATGTTTTCTTAACTAGGCAAACAAATTCAAACACAAACAATAAGCTTTCTCTGTTTAAGAATTTCTATATGACTTTCTTGTTTCAAATAATATTAGTTCAACCTTAAATTTGATTTGAACATCATACAACTACAATTCTTTCAAAGAAATCTTCAAATGCCCTTGGGGCAGATGGGCGGGGCCGAATAAGGGAAATAGGTAAAACCTTCAAAATCCTTCTCCTACCATAGGGATGAAGGGATTTTATCCTAATTTAGTCTGGAGCATCCTTAGGCCAAGGGGACTCAATTTTGTATAAATGGTAGGTGTAGCCCCCCTTGGGGCAGAGGGCTGGGGCCGAATAGGGGAAATAGAGGTAAAACCTTCAAAATCCTTCTCCTACCCTAGGGATTAAGGAATTTTATCCTTATTAAGTCGGGAGCATCCTTGGGCCAAGGGGACTCAGTTTTGTATAAACCGTTGGTTTGGCCCCCCAAGGGCCTGAGGGGCGGGGCCAATAGGGGAAAATAGCAAATTATTCTTTAAAATCCTTCTACTTCTGTAGGAATGACAGGATTAGGTCCACATTTGGTGTTGAGCATCCTTGGGGGCTGAGGGGTGGGGCCCAATATTGGAAATATAGCAAATTCTTAAAAATCCTTCTTCTTCTGTAGAAATGACATTATTTATTCCATATTTAGTCTGGAGCATCCTTGGGTGAAGGGGTACCAATTTTGTATTAACCATGGGTCTGACCCCCAAGGGCCTGAGGGCAGGGCCCAATAGGGGAAACATAGCAAATTATTCTTTAAAATCCTTCTTCTTCTGTAGGAATGGAAAGATTTGGTCCATATTTGGTGTGAAGCATCCTTGGGTAAAGGGGAACCAATTTTGTATAAACGGTGGATATGACCCCCCTAGGGGCATAGGGGTGGGGCTCTGTTTGAAATTTGTTATATCTCAAGTACTGGATGGATCTTTCTGAAATTTCATATGTACTTACAGCACATACCATAGGGTGCTATATCTTTACTTCATGCCAATTATTTTAAACATATTCAGGTGAGCGATACAGGCCTCTTGTTTTCATTTAAAATGTATATGAAATCTATATAAAACCAAATAGCAGAAAAAAATGCAGTCAGTATTATTTCAGCATCTTTATTTTAGTCCATCTAATGGCAACGAGTTACAAGATTTGACTATGAAAGGGAGTGACCAAGTGAAGGGAGTTGAAATAAATAATACATGGCACAGTGTGCATTCATATCATTGTTGAAAACACACACCGAGGTATCGGTATATATAAGATATTTACCTTAACAATAAGCTCCCTGTTCTTCATGTCAGTCTTCCATTCCTGTACATAAAGACGAGGCACCACAGGATGCATACGAGAATATTCTGGTATCCTGTCAACAGATCAAAACGTTGGTGTAACAGAAGATGTAAAATGCAATAGACCAGACTAGGATGCAACCACAGGACCTCCTAACTGTAGAAGGATGCTCTAGTCTAATTATAACAAGAGGCCCAGAGGGCCTGTATCACTCACCTGAATATGTTTAAAATAATTGGTATGAAGTAGGTGCAGCTGTAAGTACATATGAAATTTCAGAAAGATCCATCCAGTACTTGAGATATAGCTCCAGGCTAAATAAGGATAAAATCCCATAATCCCGATGGTCGAAGAAGTATTTTAAAGGTTTTACCTCTATTTCTCCTATTTGGCCCCGCCCTTCTGCCCCTTGGGAGACCACACCCACTGCATTCTTATACAAAATTGAGTCCCATTGATGCTCCAGACTAAATTAGGATAAAATCCCTTAATCTCTATGGTAGAAGAAGGAATTTAAAGGTTTTACCTATATTTCCCCTATTAGGCTCCGCCCTCTGCCTCCAGAGGGGTCAGACACACTGTTTATACAAAATTGAGTCCCTTTTGCCCAAGGATGCTCCAGACTAAATTAGGATAATATCCCTTAATCCCTATGGTATAAGAAGGATTATAAAGGTTTTATCTATATTTCCCCTATTGGGCCCCGCCCCTCAGGTCCCAGGGGGGCAACAACCACCTTTTTTATACACTGTTTATACAAAATTGGTTCCCCTTTACCCAAGGATGCTCCACACTAAATATGGACCAAATCCTTTTATTCCTACGGAAGAAGAAGAATTTTAAAGAATAATTTACTATGTTTCCCCTATTTGGCCCCGCCCCTCAGGCCCCTGGGGGGCCACACCCATGGTTTGTACAAAATTGGTTCCCCTTCACCCAAGGGTGCTTCAGACCAAATATGGAACAAATCCTTTCATTCCTACAGAAGAAGAAGGATTTTAAAGAATTTGCTACATTTCCCCTATTGGGCCCTGCCCCTCAGTCCCCAGGGGGGCCACAACCACCGTTTATACAAAATTGGTTCCCCTTTAACCAAGGATGCTCCAGACTAAATATGGACCAAATCCTTTTATTCCTACGGAAGAAGAAGGATTTTAAAGAATAATTTGCTATGTTTCCTCTATTTGGAGGGCCACACCCATGGTTTATACAAAATTGGTTCCCCTTCACCCAAGGATGCTTCAGACTAAATATGGAACAAATCTTTTCATTCCTACAGAAGAAGAAGGATTTTAAAGAATTTGTTATATTTCCTGTTTGGCCCCACCCCCTCAGCCCCCAGGGGGGGCCAGACCTACCGTTTATACAAAATTGGCTCCCGTTCACCCAAGAATGCTTCAGACCAAATATGGACCAAATCCTTTCATTCCTACAGAAGAAGAAGAAGAATTTGCTATATTTCCCCTATTGGGCCCCGCCCCTCAGCCCCCAGGGGGGCCCGTGAGACCCACCATTTATACAAAATTGTTCCCCTTCCCCCAAGGATGCTTTTGACCAAATTTGGTCAAAATCTGCTCAGTCGTTCATGACTAATAGCGTTTTAAAGGAAAAGTTGACGGACAACGCGGTATGGCATAAATGGTCCTTCGGACCAGGTGAGCTAATAAATTAATCAAGCTTCTTGGTCACAAGTAACTGCTTTGCCTAGTAAGTAGTAACCCTTCAATTGGTTGAAAATTTGAAGAAATTATAGATTAATTTCTCTTCTGGAAGCTTCAGTTTTGAAAATTCTGAGGGCTTCATGATACTATGAGTGAATTTCTGGTAAAAAAAAAAAGAGGGGGGGGGCATCTATATAACTATTGTTTTATGTATAACTTAATATTTATAAGGGTTTCACAAGATGTTTTACTATCATGTTAACCTATAAGTTGTAATTACTCTAACCATAACTTTTCAAACTGAAATTAAAGATAAATACCGTGACTGTAACAGATTTTACAAAGATTTTATTATTTTTGTCATATTAAGGATTAAGAAGTAATTTTTCAATTTCTAAAATTAATTCGTTTTAATATGAATTTTTGCGGTACTTTTTTAATACACATTCGTATTTCTTATTCCGGACACACAAAAGTCAATCAAACGACCATGATCTCAAGATGACGGCAAATCAGCTGATAGGAAACTTGACAGTAAGGCTTCCTCTGTAACCCTTGACAACCATAAATACTTCTTGAACCTGAACTTGTCTATCCATTTATATTGGTTCAACTACCATTCGGTCGCCAATTTTCCAGATGGAATTCGAGAGAGATTAGTTCTTTCTGTGTTCTTACCTTGGGCGACTGTACTTGTACAGGCTTTCAGCAAATTTCTGATTGATATTTCGGCGCCCCCGATCTGCTGCCATTTTCCCGTTCTTTTCCCACGACTGTCTGCTAACTTCTCGTGAACGTACGAGAAAACGTGAGATTAGGAATCATAACAGTCATGGCGGCGGTTGAATGTGTTACGACGTCAACTTCAATGTTTTGCGTCGTATTTTCATCGAAAATACGAATCCAAGTATAATATTGCATGTGCTTTTTATAAAGATATGAAGTTGGTATGCAAAAATATTCCACACATTTTCAATGTTTCTCGAGTGATTGCTTTTATCTTGTTATTCTATATTTAGCATTTTCACGCCTGGTGTTGCGATTCGCCTTATTTTGATCAGTTCGTGTTTAGTTTTTGTCACATGCTTAAAATAGATTCATGTGAAATAATTTTAACTTCCTTATTTGGAGACTCGTTCTTGTCAATATTCTTGGGACATTAAAGGTAAAAAGTAACATAGATTTTACATCTTACCAGGATTGATCTTCGCCGATCTAGATCTCCGAACGGTAAATCTTTGCAACCACATCTTTGAAGTTTGGGATGCTACTTACTAACTATGTTTGTGTACGTGACATGTTTCTCCTCCGTTACTACAGTTGACTCAGCACATTATAGTTGTGCCAAGCAGGGTAGAAATATTACATTTGTTCAGACTCTTAAAATGAAATTATGTTCGTGACCGTCTATTTCAATCAAAGAAGATTACAACTGCATGTCATCGTGTATTGCATTTCTTTGTATAATGAAATATATAATAATACATCTGTTTCATGTCTTATTACAATATTAAGACTGGCTATTTCAATATGACATGCAATAATCATTGGTTAAGAAACATTTAAAAACAAGATTGCAAAATGCATAAAAACATGCATGATAAAGTCGTCGATGCAATATTCTATTAAACTGATGTTAAGTATTCAAATTCCTTGTCACTTTTGACCACATTTTTCACTTAGTTATAAATATAACATCATAGAAATATTTACTTTATTTACAGTCAGTTATAAATATACAGATGACTCACAAAAATATACATCAAAATACAAATTACAACCTGTAGAGGGCTCTGTCATGACAAATGAAGGAAACAGCAGTGACTCTGACAGTGATCAAAGAAAATAGTGTAATAAGCCTGAACCCGAAAGGGTTTGAACTAAAAACATTGTGTCAAGTCCACTGCTGTTCATGGGGGGGGGGGGGGGGGGGGGGGCAGCTTTTGTGACCTACACATAGCTCAGCATCCCAAACTTCAAGAGGCAGTGTGTTGAGAGATTCGCTATGATCAATCCAGATTGGCTGTATTGATAATATCATAGAAACTGTTGGTCATGTATCAGTAAAATTGCCTGGCCTTGTACTCGGGTGTCGCTCGTCTGTAATCTTCAAATGACAGGTATCAGCCTAGGTTTGATCAGTTTACCTGACACCAATCAAATAGCTAGTGCTGTGTCTTCAATTTTGCTATGACATATTCCAGGGGTGCAGAGAGCGAACGTGAGCGTTACCCATACTTAATAACTAACATAATGACTAATTGATAGAATTTTTAACCTTTCAGGACCTTAAAAGCAGGATGTTTCAGTACTTTTTTGTATAAAGAAAAACTGCTTAAGTGAAGAATTTTAAAAGATAAAATCGCCAAAACAGTTTGTCAGGGATCCAAAACCAAGTACTGAAACATCCCAGTACCGAAAATACAAAGTATCGAAATGTTGGTACCTCTATATATATTATGCATCATCATAATATGTCCCTTGAAATGAATATGTTTTGAATGGTTGTTTAATAAGAATATTCAACATAGAAAAAAGACATACTCACATGAAATGATAGCTTAGTTTGCATTGCCTTAATGTTGTTTTAATTTCTTTCTGCTAAGTGTTCAAGTGATTTATAACTTTTAATCCTTTTTTTTTTTTCAAAGTGTCCATACTTAGTGTACTGATGGAGGGTCATATTGTGAAGGAATTTCAAAATCTGCGAGTGTTTTCAAACAACAAATTTGTGAGGATGGATGAGCTGGTGCATGATCTGGCAAGTGCTCTTGAGGAGACAGCCAGAAGTACCAAGTCTCAATCCCGTGAGAGTCAACCCTCAGGGTCATCCTCCAAACGCTGCAGCCGAAAACGCAAAGGAAAGAAACGTCGCACATTCATAGTTGATGGAGGAAACATCAGTGAAGCCTCAGAAAGCAGTGTTGAGGAAGCACTGAAGGATTACATGGAAAACATCATCCAGCAGAGTGACTCTGATGATATTGGTATGTCATCTACAGTTGCCAGATTGACTATGCCATTAAATTTTAGTTATGTGCCAACAGTGGAATCTGATTCAGTGACAGAAACTTTTTCTCCCAGACGTCCTCAACGTCGAAGGAAGAAATACAAGTCGATGGCAGTAGACAGTGATCCAGACATGATGATGCAGCCACCTATGCATCCCCCAAAACCCTATCAGCATCACCATAGTAGTGACGGGAACCTTCACAGCTCGTCTGTAGACCAGGGGGCCACTCAGACACCTCTCACAAACAAAGACAATATTGGGCTCATATCTATAGAAGCCTCCGTGTTGCCAGGAAAGAGGAAGAGGAGTTCGAAGTCAAGGACAGATTTCCCTTCCAGCAGCAGCACTCACGGCAAACCATCTAAGAATGAGGATACCATGGATGTGGGCTCTCAGTAAGTGATGTCTGTGGCCAGGATTTCTTCTTATTTCATATTTACTGTATAAGTAGAGACAAAAATCCAACCAATTATTGGAAGTTCCTTAGTGTGTCTGATGAATTTGTTATATACCAGGTCTTGCCTTGTGGTCAGCCTCTTGTCTACAAGCTGCTTTTACCATAGAAATAACACAGGCATATATAAAAGAAAGTGATCATATGGAAACCAATCTATCCAAAGTGGATGTAATTTGTACCCAGCTCTTGTTCTTTTGTTTGAATTATTTGTCATCAACAACAGTATAAAGGGAAGCTTAGGAGTATATCCTGTCTAAATATTTGTAAAACTTCATTATCTACACAATGAATATGTGATAAAGGCAACTTAAATTATAGGCCTTTGCAATGAATATGAAAATATTAATCATTTTATGTAGACTAAAATATCTGAATGTAATATTCATAAAATGACTTTAAACCTGCACAGTATAATAGGGGGTTCTTTCTTCATTGTAGAGAGAGTAGCTCCAGTTCAAGTCTTAGCAGTAGTGAGAGTGACGGCCTTATCACCAATGATGAAGGCAGAGAGGGTAACTATCTACTACATTGAATATCAAGTACGAAAACATCGCACAAAATATGTATACACCATGGCAGCATGGCATTGCTTTTATTTTAAAGAAATATTTTATTGCATAAAATATTTCATCTGAACTAAAAGGAAATCATGTGAATGAAATGTGTTTAATAAAGATTTATAATATGCAAAATTATGCTTTCAGCTGATGATGAGCAAAGTGACTTTTTCTACGAGGGCGGTCCAGCGTGCGGGATTCCTGGGATCATTCCGTGGTGGGAAAGCGACGCAGGTCAACGGGAGGTGGAGTCGGATAAGGAGTTCCAGCAGATACTGACAGGAACATTTGAACATCTCTCCAAATCCTCACAGATGGCATTCAAAGCCAGAGTGTCTAGGCTCATGGCAAAGGTGACAGGAATCTAATTATGACATTACATTGTTTTAAGCTCACCTAAATAACCGAAAGGCCTAGGGTGATGGTATTTGGCCAGAAGCAAACTGTGATAAAGGGCTACCAAGTTTGTTCAAATGAATGACCTTTGCTCATTTTCAAGGTCACAGGGATCAAATATATTTAATTCTTTAAATGACTTGTTCTGAATATTCAAAAGGTCCAGGGTAATGATATTTAGCCAGAAGTATGCCGGGATGGAAGGCTATAAACTTTCAAAGTCACAGGTGTCATGTATTTAAATCATTTAATAGATTCAAATGGACCTTACACAGATATTTTGCCTGTAGCTGTATATTACTCGACTTTAAGATTACAAGTGTGAGATTAATACCAGGTGAGCGATTCAGGCCCATTGGGCCTCTTGTTGTAGTTCAAAGACATTCAAACTTTCGTTTGTATCTAAGACCATTTGTTTTCGATGATCATTATCCATCATAGAGACCCACTTAGTGGTTTATCGCAGTACAAATTTCTTGTCAAACAACTTAAACTCATCCCCCCCTGAATTTTCATAATTAACTTTTCCAACCTTTGAATTGGAAGAGTTCAAATGTGTCTTCAAGGGTGAATGAGTGAACTGTTTAATGAAATGGTTTTAAGATAACAGATTTTTTTCATTTTAAACTTCAAAAACTTATGCATCTTAATTAATAGCATTAATTTGTATTGTCTTTTTCACATGATGATAATTCAGATATGAACATGGGAAGGGGTGGTATTAAGGAGGAATTTATAATTGAAAATGTGTGAGTGATGGGGTCTAAAATATTCGTTTACATTTGTATAGTTGGCCCCAGAAAAAAACTGTATGTATCATAAAGTTATCCCTGCTACCAGTATCTAATAATAGTTCTGAAGTTAGCTCTTAATCATGGATGTGCTGTTAATATACAGTGTAAATTAATATTAAGATTATTATTGTTGCCAAACAATTAAAAAATATTGGTTTATGATCAAAATGAGACTGCCAGACCTATCATACACTATAAAGTAACAAGTTAGCACATGGAAATGCCAGCTGTTTTCTGTTTAATACATTGTTCCCCTTCTAAACTGTAACATTTATCTTTCTCAGTCTGGCAGAGAGATACGCTTTGGAAGAAGAAAGCTAAAAGAAAAGGTTGGTGTTTGGTTTCTTTCTTTTTTCACCCTTGGAAAATGATAAAAGTGTGTGTAATACCAATGGGTCTAACAAATATAATCTTCAAACTACATATATATTTTAAACATATATATGTGTTCATGCTTTTTTGCTGTATTGCACTAAGGCCAAAAAAGAAAGATTACTTGGTTCTCAGGCCCGCACGCATCTCATGGCACCGTGCGCATTGCCGATTTTATCGTGAAAGTAATAGAAAAAAAATCGTGAATGCGCCAGCCGCCATCTTTAAAAAAATCCGGAAAATTGGTCCGCATGTCGTTTTAACTCGTTAGTCACCCAAGTCCCGAAAATGTTTGAATAAAGGTAAGGATTGAGATACAGGCAAGCGTTAAAATGATTAAGACTTATTAGTGTTGTGTACAAATGGCGCTCATTTCGGTACAAATAAGGAATGGGGGGGTTCGTGATTCGCGTCTGGAACATCGTGGGGGGATTTTCGAAGGCTTGCTCTATGACGGATCTCTACACAACTATAAAAAGACAAGGTAATGTCCACAATGAACGTTTTACAAACTACACAATAATAAAAAAAAAAATCGCCCTCTTCTCGTTTTTAGCTAAGGCGTTAGCCGCCAGCTATTGGTATTACTTTAGTTAATGAGCTCAGATATTCATAAATGTCGATTTCACACAGACGGCCTCTAGCGGTAATCACTGGTACTAAATTTAATCATATACCGGACCTACTGTCTTTATTATGCGTAACTTTGGACTCAAATGCACTTGAATGGCTTGTAAATATCATTCCTTTTCTTTATAGAACATATGATCTTATCACTACGTCGTATTCTTATTGAAAATGCACCCTGTTTATCTCAATCGGGAACTGCTACTTGACTGTAGGTCATGCATGCTACACGCAACTTCCGGTAAAAATACTTCAGTTAATGAGCTCAGATATTCATAAACGAGACATAACGTCACCTTCTAGTAATACTAAACAAACTGAAAATAAAATCCATTACCACGGACTCAAACGTCATTGGATATAATCTTATTCTTAGTTAGAACTAAGTATCCTTCTAAAACTTCGTATTTACTCTTGGAACTGTCGCTGGATTAACCCTTTACACGGAAATATTGTCCTGTGATTGGCTAATATTAGTGACATTTACGTCCCTGTTTACAATTATATATTGCGTGGTCAGAGCTATGAAGC